GTTCATTTGCCGTTGCTCGAAGTTAATAAAGAATTCACGAAATCATTTTTTGAAATTGATTTTACTTATGGGCATCCGTATATTGACAACAGTAATTTTAAAATTCTGTTAGATAGAAATGGATTTATTAAGCGAAATTCGAATAATGATGAAAATCCGTTTGATCTTCAAGTATGTTACGCTTGTAAACGATCTTTAGACATGAATAAAACTCCACTTCTCTCTTTAACTAATATGTGGATTGGACCTACGCCACTATGTCTTCAAGGATTAACGATTCCGGAACAACTCTTAATTTCCACGGGTTATTTGTGCATCAATCTTATACAACTTACCAACCAAAAACACACACATCATAAGTTGAAAGGTCATGTAATTACATTTACACAAAATCAAACTTCTCTTACTACTATTTTACCTTTACCTATGTACCGATTGTGTGATTATTTGAAGGTTGTATTTGTTGGGCAAGGGCAACCATCGGAAGCACAATTGAGAAAAGTATTATGTGTAAGAAAGCATAAAGTCGCTACAGCTTTAAATTGGTTAATGAATCATAATATTTTATATAAGAACATTAAATTAGATGAAGTGACATTAAACTCCTTACCAGAAAATGAAATACCGACTGCTTTAAAGGCAACTACTGTGATAGTTGATATTAATCCAGAAAAAATAGAACATTACACTGGATACGTAGTGGATCCAGTAGATAACGGTGACGAGTATGAGGAAGATAATAATCCTATCGGTGATGTCTCTGACTTAAGAAACTTAGGTATGGTATATACGGATAATAATCCTGTTTCGGAAAATAACCGTACATTAAAATTACTCGAGAAAATAGTACAAGAATCATCAAACAATGGAAAAAAAATTTCGGAAGTAATCTTATTACCACATTCAAATATACCTATGAACGAATATACTGATCTAACAGTTTTACCCGCCGCATTTCCAGTTTTATTTCCTTACGGAGTTGGTGGTCACGAAGATAAATTTCGTAATCAACACATCCCATTTAAACAATATGTTGAACATTTATTATGACTTTATGATCATAAATTTAGACACTATCGCTCATTTATTTTTGCCGCATTTGATATTTTGCGAAGAAAAGAAATTACCTTGGGAACATTTTTAATGGCAAAACAAGCAAATTTCGAAAGGTCTTCTGAATTGATTTCAAAACTTACACCACGTGATATGGAAATTGCAATTGAACAAGAACGAAATAATCAGCCCGTAACTAATAAATCTGTACTTGAGTTGCTAAGGAATGTTAATGTTGTTGGAGAAAAAATTATGGGATCACATCAATCACGTAATCGTCTTCGTAATGAAATTCGTGCCGTCACAATACGAGATGGCACACCCTCATTATTCTTAACAATTAACCCCGCAGAACTTCATAGTCTAATTGTAATGATGTATACGGAAACGAAATTAATATGGATACTTTGCTTCCAGAAAATTTTCCTATAGCAACTGAAAGGGCTAGGTTGGCTCACCTTGATCCGACTGCAGTAGCTAAGTATTATGATGTACTTATAAGAAGCATGATTAAATATATTCTTGGTTACAGAAAACCAGGTGGTGGAGTGTTAGGTAAGATAAAAAATTACTATGCAGTGACAGAATATCAAGATCATGAAACACCACACTGTCATATATTGATTTGGCTCCATGGAGCCCCTAACCCTGTTGAATACGAAATCGTCTTCGATATAATGAGGATTTCAGAATACGGTTGATGAATTACGTAAATGAAATTGTGAAAGAAGATATTAGTTATCTTTTTTCTAATGGTAATTACATGACTGATGAAATGTTGAACGCTGAGTATAAAATACAAAAAACAATGTTGGAAAAAAAAATGCACCCATCATTTTTATCGATCCCAGACCCTCGATCTCCTACTTTCGATGAAGATTTTCGTCTTGACGTTCTTGCGATTGCAAAACACACACTAGTTCATAGGTGCACTAAGTCATGTAAAAAATATTATCGTGGCAGGATATCAAACTGTCGTTTTAATTTTCCTTGTGAATTAGTTGAAGCATCAGGAAAAATTTATCCGGAACTAGGAATTATCGTTCTTCAACGCCTTAACACCTATATTAATAATCATAATCCCTATATAACTACTAGCTGTCATTGTAATAATGATATTAGATTTATAGCAACTGTTAAATTGGCACTAGCATATATTCATTATATCACAGACTATATAACTAAAACTGACATGAATACTCATAATTCGTTTCTTATGTGTGCCATGACTTTAAATAACTTCATGATTAAAGCATCGAATGAACTATCAAAAAAATATATAATAAGATCACGGCGATTAGTAACGATGTGCCTTAATAAAATTATAGGACAAACAGAAATGACTGGACCCCAAGTCTCAGCTTACCTCCTAAACATCAGTGATTACTACACGGCAAATAAATTTGTTCCACTCTACCTTAGTTCTTTCGAAATATATTTAACTTCACAATATCTAATAGAATATTCATCTAAATCAATTATTTTAGATGACCAAAACAGTGATAACACTGATAGTGAAGAAGAATCTTGCCAAGAAAACAATATTATTAATGATGAAATGTTTACAATAACTAATTCTGGAAATAGGATAACTGCAGTTAACTTAAGAATTGACTATATGTATCGTAGAAAACAATTAGAAAATATGTGCTTTTATGATTATGCTGCAACAATACATAAAATAAAAATAAATGACAAAGAATTAAATAAACTCACTAGGCAAAAAAATCGTGAAGGTCGAGCAACAAGGGTAGATAGAATTCTTTTTTTAGGTGGTGAAAAGAAATGTAATGAATTCTGTAGTCATAACACAATACATTCACAACATTCAACACATATACAAGTTCATTGGTGCCAAGAAAGTGAAAAAATACCTGTACTATATGGAAAAGGAATACCACGCAAGGATGACTCCCAAAATACAGAACGTTATGGACTTTGCATCTTCTTACTTTTTAAACCATGGACAACTGCAAATGACCTCATGTTAGAATATGATTCGTGGCGTGAAGCATGTAATAGTTTCTTACAAAGTTAAGAATTATCTCCACGATTACAATCAATAATAGATAATATTGAACTCTTACATCGATGTGCGGAAGAGACAGAATTAGATCGTCAATTGCGTAAAATGTCTTTGAAAAACCCAGAATTCATAAAAATCCAATGAATAGAGAGATCTGTAGTTGGTTATGAAATTCCCAATGATGATATAGATATGCTAGATGACCAAAGTAAAAATGATCTTAACATCAATAACTTAACTTTAGAACCGTATATGATAATGCGTTCTGGTCTAAATAATACAAAATTTGTTGATGATGCAATGTTCCATTTGTATCTTAATAAAAAGTTTAATACGGGAAATTATAGCATCAAGAAAAAAAATGAATCAAATAAACAATACAATCCCTAATGAAATTCATATGTCAAAATTCTTTACACATACTCTTAACTCACAGACAATATTAAATCGAATAGACCCACTTCAAAAAATTTTAATTAATCTTAATGATGAACAGAAAAAAGCTGTTTCACTCATTTGTGACCATCGTGTACGAAATTATCCTAATAACCCTAATAAACCATCTCAATTATTAATGTATTTAGGTGGTGCTGGAGGCACTGGAAAATCAAAAGTAATTAAAGCGATTTGTGAATACTTCAAACAAACTAATCAAGAAAAACTCTTGTCGTGTGTGCTCCTACTGGCTTCGCCGCATCTAATATCGAAGGCTCCACTCTTCATTCGTTATGCGGATTCAAATTTAGTGAGGATGATG